TTGCCGCAAACCCTACTCCACGCCGTTTACACCAAAGACAACGACTGCATACAGATCTCCGTACTTCACAAACGCCATGAGTTCCTATGGATGGGTCAGGTGCCCGACCAGTACTTTCTGCCAGACCTCCAAAACAACAGCAAAATGTTTCCTAAAGACTTACAATACGGTCAAATGGAGTCGGCGTTTGACTCGTTCAACCTAACGGTGTATAATCAGAGCTATAGTGGACTCGATATACACATACCGGAGCCGGCGGTCCACTTCATGGCTCAGATTAAGACCTCGACGTTCATTGAGTGTAACTACGAAATGGCTGTCAATTTTCATCGACAATACAAAAAGAAGTATACGGAGGGCCCGAATAAGGACAGTCAGGTCAAGGATGCCCTGCAAGCGCTTAACCACATGGCCAGATCCCTGGGCAGTATACCTATCTATATATCCAGTGGTACACTGCTGGGCTGGTATAGGCAGTGTGGAGTCATACCATATACCTCAGACCTGGACACTGCTACCTGGGCTATGTATGCGTCCAATGAAGCGACGGACAGGTGGCTTAACAACGACGTGGGATTCCGGTTGGCATATATCTATGGATTGATAGAGAATGGCTATCAGTATGCCTTCTACTCGAGGTATAACCTCAGGGTAGATGTGTTTTATACGTATAGGGAGTTACCGAACCTGACATATACTGGCCATAAGCCCAGTCAGAAGTTGTATTTCCGGTACTGGTATCCGTATTTTGAGTTATGCTCAGCTGAGTTGGTGGGATTAAAGGTACAGGTGCCCTGCACTCCAGAATCCGTGGTTAGCGCAGGTATGTGTATAATTATATTATGTATTTTATGTAATATGATATTTATAAAATGTAGCTTTTAGTCACAATTATTGCTATTTATTACTTAATTTTATAAGTTATAAATAATTTTGGAAAACTTTTGTCTAGTTTGTGAGTACTAAGTATTATGAGTATTAGTAAAACTGTATTATTATACCATAAATGAGTATTAAAATCAGATTAACTTCATTATACAACTATAACGTTTATAAGTTACTAGTAATAGAAATAAATATATTTTAATCTAAATTTATATAGTTATATAATATATATAGATAGTATTTCATCGTGAACGATTTTATCGTGTATTTCACACAGTATTAACAATAGCAATAATTTATATTATGATAGTATAGTACACAATTGAATTGTTGTTCATTAGTTTCTAGTTACTAGAAAGTATTATTCAATATTTAGAAATTAAAGGTGAAATTAAATTAGATATAAATATTTTACATGATTATATAAATAATTTTTAATTTTCTGTATTTTACAGAATATGGTCCAAATTTTTATACACCAGTATCAGACTGGAATTATATGGCATCGGCGTATAATACCGGCCCCCATAGGTACTGGGCTAATGATGAGGAGGCCAAGAGGGCTTACAGAGAGTTTTAGGCTATTTATACACTAATAGTAATTTTGTTTAAATAATTATTTGTATAAATTAATTGACAATATATTTGTTTTAATGTAAATTGAATATTGAAATAAATTATTTTTTAAACTTTATAAACAAATGTGTTATTAATTAATTATTAGGAAATTAATAAAACAGGTTAATTATTAATAAATATACATTTAAACACTTTAATTCACTCTAATTACTGTATATATTTTTATAAATATCTTAAATAGTTTATTTTAATGATACAATATTTACAATTAACTTGTGAAATTAATAATATATTACTAATAAATTATTTATTAAAATTGCTATGCATTTATTTATTTCTAGTTATTTTTTGTAATAATTAATATTTTGGTGTTTTGTATTTTGCAATAGTTTTAGTGAAAGGTTTTTGTGTCAAAACTAATGTTTTAGATGTCCATAATCCAATTGTATTATAGTTACTTTAGAAAATTACATTCGAAATAAATATTTGCATTTATTTTTGTAGTAAAAAATAGTTAATTACTTACCATGGTCAATTACATAATTTTGCGAATTATATGAAAATGCATTTTTAGTTGCTTTATGAAAGTCTATGATATCCGTAGCAATAATTATAAAACTGTAACTTTTGTTTCATTGTATGTGAAGTAGTTTTCAGTTTACTTTTGCACTATATTTGTGGTCAACATTTAACTTTGATTTAAGTAAGTGTCCCATAAATTGTGTATAAAGTGGACAGTCATGTGGTTTAGCGGGAAGTACGGCAAAGTGATAGCACTGTTAGTTTGCTTGACACTATTATTCATACTATTGGCGTATCATATGGTAAGCTATGGCTGGGAATCGCAATATCGGATACCGGGTAGACATCAGGCTAGTCATGGATTCACTAATGTATGGATTAGTTGTTTGGTATAAAGTGTTTAGAAAATAGTTTCAATTTTATTTTGTGTTTCAGAGGGTCAGTGGACACGAGACATATGCTGCGGAAGTGGTTATGTTTGACACTTCAGACCTTTGGTTCACTGAACACGCCATGGATTTCATGCAAATTGTCGATGACTTCAAACTCCGGGTCTTTCTCATTGAACCCATTATATTGTATCTAATGATTGATTGGAAGCACAAGAAGTTACTGGATGTCAGGGATCTATTGCCCGACCATTTGATGGACGATATAATGGGCAGTAAATTGTATTGCCTTTCGTTTGGAGTCTTTATGAATGAATTTGGATTTCAAGTGAGTTTTAATAGTATTTTAAAATAAAAATTAATTATTTTTGTATTGAATTTCAGCATAAATTACATCAAGAGTTGACTAAACGATCGTTCAATATATCAATGATCGATGGATTAGATGGCAGTCAAAGACATTTCGCCACAGATGTCACACAAATGGATGAAACAGTTTTGCATTTGTTTTATACGAAAGACGACGAATGCATTCAGATATCAGTGTTTCATAAACGCAATGACTTTCTATGGGTGGGAGAGATACCTGTCCATCGAAACGAAAGCTATAACTTTATGGATATTTTTTACGGCAAACATGAGTCGGCTTTTGATTCATTTGGTTTACAATCCGTGAAAGTCGTGAGAAATATAAAACTTTTAATACCCGATAGAGTCGTTCACTTTATATCGCAATACAAGTCATCGAAATTCATTGAATGTGACTATAGTTTAGCCAAAAGTATGACCAAAATCTATCCGAAATCCGAATCAATGGACCGTAAAGTGAGGGAATCGTTGATAGCATTGAAAATGTTTACATCAAAACACTTGACACCCTTTTTCATAACGGGTGGCACTCTATTGGGTTGGTATGGACACTGTGGGGTCATTCCCTACACCACAGACGTGGACACCGGGATGTGGTCTACATATGCCAGCCCTCAGCTCATCGATACATTCATCCGCAACACAAATGACTTTAAAAGTGTGCATAGATTTGG